GCGTCAACATGTTCAACAAGGTGCTCTTCCGTCGAAGGATCAAAGCGTCTATCAAGTCGAATGGACTGTGAATTGTGATTTTCATAATGTGAAGTAGCAGTATACTAGAAAACGATGTTTTTCTTCCACTGTGGTGCTTGGTAACAAACTTATTTCCTTCCGACAGGGTGTCTTGGTGCTAGCTTTGGTGGGCGTGGCTCTGGCCGCCCCTTCGGATCCATACCACCAGCCTTCCTACAAGGAGGTAGGTCGTCAATATATATTGAATGAAAAGGTGTTTTCCTACTGTCGATTTTAGTTCCTATATGAATTAACCATTAACATAATCCCGAAAGGAGCCGAAGCCGTACCAGTTCGCCTACGGAGTCAAGGATGAATACGCCGGCACCGACTTCGGTCAGAGCGAGGAGTCCGACGGCAAAGCCGTCAAGGGATCCTACACTGTCCAGCTTCCCGACGGCCGCAAGCAGACGGTGAGTGTGGCAGCTGCTCTCGCTATATACTATTTTAATGATGGACGATTGGCATATTTTCCTCGATTTGCTAACGATACCATATATCTCTTCTGCAGGTGAACTACGTGGCTGACCACTACAACGGCTACCAGGCTGAGGTCAGCTACTACGGCGAGGCTCAGTACCCCCACGAGTACGGTCCCCCCATCACCTTCAAGCCCCAGGCCTACCACCCCCAGCCTTCCTACAAGCCACAGCCTTCATACCATTAAATTCCATTACTATGTCAAATAACTTAAGTCATTTAAGTTTTGAACATAATATAAACGATATATTAAAAATATATAAACAAAAGTACGGTTTATCAAATACCTAAACACATTTGCCAAAAAAAAAAAAAAAAAAAAATCAAACGCATGAATTATATAAACAATCGATTTACAAAACCCAATATCACAATAAAAATACTCTCCCAAGATAAATGGAGCAGTTGATGTGACAAAGCATTGTGCCCAATGCCCAATATTCCTTCTTTTTAAATATCGTTACTGTATACACCATGGCTGATTCCTAAGAATATGTTCCATCTACAATAAGCGGTGGATGGTATTCATAAGATATTTACTTCTCTGGTGGTTAAGTTGACCGAGGAACAAACACGCATAATGCCATCGTGATCAGAGGTTTGGTAACAAGACCATAGTCTACACCAGTGTTGTCCAAACACTTTCGCTTATTTTAACCTTTATTACCTTTTTGTACTGTTACGTACCCCCCCCCCCAGTACACCATGGCTAAACAATGGTTTCATTTAGGCTAATGCAGATCATATACTAATTATGAGAAGACTGCATTGCAGGAGTGTTGGTCAATAAATTGGAATTTAATTCACGAATAAAAAAATAATTTCATAACAATGTTTGAAAAAAACTTACACAACTTAATGTGAGGTGTGTGTGTGTTCCTTGTTTGTTCAAGTACCCTTATAGCTGTGTACCCCCAGGGGTACGCAGACCCCAGTTTAGACAACACTGGTCTACACCATTATGTAATATCTGAGTCCTTAAAACCCTCGCGAATTGTCGAGATGACATTAACATTCATACGGGGTGTACAAACGTATTTCGTGGGCATTGCCTACTAAAAAGGCATCGAATTTGACCACTATGTATAATTTTTTTCAATGGTTTTATCGTCTGCCTCAGTTCGGATCACACGCACGCACGTATGCATAGCCAAAACGCGCTCACACATACAAATAAACACAAGCACACGTTGTACGTGTGTGTGTATAATATATATATATATATATATATATATGTATATATATTAATATATAATTGTATATATAAATATATGTGTATATATAAATGTATATTTGTATATATAAATATATATATATATAAATATATATCCATATATATAAATACAAATATATTTACATATAAACATATATTTATACATATATGCATATACATACACTCACCCATATACATATAAAATATATAAGTATATTTTAAATGGCTTTGTCGTTTACCTCAGTTCGGCTCACACATACGCACGCACAGCTGTTAAAACACACACACACACTAATAAACAAACACACATGAACAAGCGTGTGTGTGTTTATGAGTATGTATATGTATATATATAATATAATATACGTATATATATATATATATAATATATATAATTATATACGTATATGTATATTATACATATAATATACGTATATATATATATATACATATAATGTAAATGTATATATATGCATACATATATATATATATGCACATTCTATGCATATATATATATATACACATACGTATATATGTATATTTATGCGTATATGCATATCAAAACTTATGCTTCAGTAAACAGCCTTGGAAATATCTCCTTTCCCAGATTAAGTCGAAATTCGTTCCTCTTGGCTTTTCTGTCTATACAAGCACGTGTCTGGCGGCCGCTGTCTCAGGGTCACGCATCACACTCACTATAAAGGTAATGGGGAGCCGTCACTCCGACATCACAACCTCCTCATCCACCGCGTCAACATGTTCAACAAGGTGCTCTTCCGTCGAAGGATCAAAGCGTCTATCAAGTCGAATGGACTGTGAATTGTGATTTTCATAATGTGAAGTAGCAGTATACTAGAAAACGATGTTTTCTTCCACTGTGGTGCTTGGTAACAAACTTATTTCCTTCCGACAGGGTGTCTTGGTGCTAGCTTTGGTGGGCGTGGCTCTGGCCGCCCCTTCGGATCCATACCACCAGCCTTCCTACAAGGAGGTAGGTCGTCAATATATATTGAATGAAAAGGTGTTTTCCTACTGTCGATTTTAGTTCCTATATGAATTAACCATTAACATAATCCCGAAAGGAGCCGAAGCCGTACCAGTTCGCCTACGGAGTCAAGGATGAATACGCCGGCACCGACTTCGGTCAGAGCGAGGAGTCCGACGGGAAAGCCGTCAAGGGATCCTACACTGTCCAGCTTCCCGACGGCCGCAAGCAGACGGTGAGTGTGGCAGCTGCTCTCGCTATATACTATTTTAATGATGGACGATTGGCATATTTTCCTCGATTCTAACGATACCATATATCTCTTCTGCAGGTGAACTACGTGGCTGACCACTACAACGGCTACCAGGCTGAGGTCAGCTACTACGGCGAGGCTCAGTACCCCCACGAGTACGGTCCCCCCATCACCTTCAAGCCCCAGGCCTACCACCCCCAGCCTTCCTACAAGCCACAGCCTTCATACCACTAAATATCTCATGAATGAAAATAAATCCATTCAATCACTTTTGAGCTACTCCATGTAAATTATCATTAAAAGTAAACCATTAAAAATTGTTTATTACATACCTAAAAACAATTGCGATATAAAATACATAAAAATACAGCTGATGTAATAACAGATTCACATTGGAAATCGACAATACTTACACAGATCGCTAGTCGTTCATGAATTCTACTTGTCAGAAAAATTAAATGGCAAACTCAACAAATGCTCTTATTGACAAATGGAAAATTATCTAAATTATCATATGTCCAATCTCGTAATTTGAAAACATTCTCTTGTATTATTACTGATATTAAGAGTTACGATTTCTAACTACAAAAACGGCCTGAATCACAAACTGAATTCGTTAGGTTAAGCCAGAAATAAACAAAGAGGCACTGATGACATTTATTTCTCTATTTTTGTAGATTTCAACGCTGTGATTAGCGAAAAGATAACATATATATTCTAAAGTTCAATTCTGAAATCAGTTGCATAATGTCTAGGCTGTAATATAATTATTAGTTCTGAGTTTGAGTAACCTTCTTGGTTTTCTTAAATAAATTGGGAATTATATAAGATGTACAGTTGTGTCGACTTACGACCTATTCAACTTGCAACTGATCAACTTCACGACCACCCAAAACTAATACTGTATGTCTGGCCATGACAGTACAAAGAGTGGTGACACAATGGTCATAACAGTAGTGATGAGAAAATGGTGATAAAATATGACTTTAAGATGACTACAATACCGATACACAATATAATATACTGAAATTTAACATAGACCGCCTTACAACCAAATCGGCTTATGACCGGTCTGTAATAACCATGTGTGTATGTGTACGCTATTTGTGAATCTGAATGTGTGTGCGTGTATATATATGCATATATCATATATGTATAGATAGATATAGATAGATATATAGATATACATTTGCACATATATAATATATAATAATATATATATATATATATACATATATAATATATATAATATATATTATATATATATATATATATATAATATAATATATATATATATATATATATATATATATGCATATATATAAATATGTATATATATGTATATATGCATATACATATGTGTATATGTGTACATGTATATATGTATATGTATTTGTATATATGATTGTGCTTCTCTATATATAATTCTATATACATACACACATGTATATAAATATATATACATACGCCTATACATACATACATCTATATATATGTATATATGTTTATACACAGACACACACATATATACATATACTTAAATATATACAGATATACATACATCATATATACATATATAAAATGTGTGTTTGTATATGTGTCCATAGGTGTGTCTCCTTGTATGTGTGCATATTTGTGTGTACATATGTGTATATGCGTGTGTGTGAGAGAGTGTTTGTGTGAGTGTCTGCGCGCGAGCCATAATCATATCATGATATTGTTGGTGAATCCATGCGTATTACGACACGTAGAAACAACGAAGAAAATTAATATAAACTGATAAGGTACTTTTTTCTTTAGGTGAAAGGGAAATCGTATTTCTTTATGAAAAGATGACAACACGATTTTGTTTATTCATAAATCTTATCAAACCTTATGCTTCAGTGAACAGCCTTCTTTGGAAATCCGTTCCTCTTGGCTTTTCTATGTCTATACAAGCACGTGTCTGGCGGCCGCTAGTCTCAGGGTCACGCATCACACTCACTATAAAGGTAATGGGGAGCCGTCACTCCGACATCACAACCTCCTCATCTCCACCGCGTCAACATGTTCAACAAGGTGCTCTTCCGTCGAAGGATCAAAGCGTCTATCAAGTCGAATGGACTGTGAATTGTGATTTTCATAATGTGAAGTAGCAGTATACTAGAAAACGATGTTTTTCTTCCACTGTGATGCTTGGTAACAAACTTATTTCCTTCCGACAGGGTGTCTTGGTGCTAGCTTTGGTGGGCGTGGCTCTGGCCGCCCCTTCGGATCCATACCACCAGCCTTCCTACAAGGAGGTAGGTCGTCAATATATATTGAATGAAAAGTGTTTTCCTACTGTCGATTTTAGTTCTATATGAATTAACCATTAACATAATCCCGAAAGGAGCCGAAGCCGTACCAGTTCGCCTACGGAGTCAAGGATGAATACGCCGGCACCGACTTCGGTCAGAGCGAGGAGTCCGACGGCAAAGCCGTCAAGGGATCCTACACACTGTCCAGCTTCCCGACGGCCGCAAGCAGACGGTGAGTGTGGCAGCTGCGCTCGCTATATACTATTTTAATGATGGACGATTGGCATATTTTCCTCGATCTGCTAACGATACCATATATCTCTTCTGCAGGTGAACTACGTGGCTGACCACTACAACGGCTACCAGGCTGAGGTCAACTACTACGGTGAGGCTCAGTACCCCACGAGTACGGTCCCCCCATCACCTTCAAGCCCAGGCCTACCACCCCCAGCGCTTTCT